AGTGGGTATAGGAGTGGGTGAACAGGGTAGACAGTGGGTATAGGAGTCTGTGAATCGGGATAGATTGTGGCAAAATTCATTTGATGGTCCTTCATACAGTCTTTATTTTTAAATATTTATCAGTGAATGGCCACCAAATAACAGTAAAATAAAAACAAAGCACTGTGGATGCTGGGAATCAGAAACAGAAATTGCTGGCGAAACTCAATAAACCTGGCAGCACCTGTGGGCAGAAAGCAGAATTAACATGTCTCGTGACCCTTCATCACTGGACTTGAAACGTTAACTCTTTCTTCCCACAGATGCTGCCAGACCTGCTGAGTATCACCAGCGATTTCTGCTTCTGCCTGATTTTATTTCTGTGCAGTTGTCAAGGAAACTGTGTACTCTGTCATTCTAAACATGATGAGTTCAACATTTTCTTCACCCAGTCATCTGTTGCTCTCTTGGGGTTAAAGTCTCTCTTCATGTTGGTAATTGACTGACTCGTCCACCCCAATGCAGTAATGGTGAATCAGTGCAATTAATGCACTTATAATATACACTGTGAAGTGACTCACTCGAAAGCAGTTATCATTTTACCCTTTTTGATACCTGTCCAGGAGTGATTAGATTTGGTGTATTATTGCCATGAAGTTAATATGCAGGCTCCCAGTTCTGCTGACAAATTTTATTACTTTGATTGCCATTTTTTTATGGTGCAGGGAAAGTCATGGTTTATTTTGTCGCTGATTGATAAAGTCTTAACGCTTGTCAGCATAAATAACACCGCAAAATTAACCCTCCGAGAACTGTGACTGTTCCCTCATTCATGAGTTATTTTGCCCCCCCCCCCCCCCCTCCCCTGGCATTAGGGGATCATGCATTTAAGGTGAGAGGGAGACATTTCAAAGAGATGTGAGAGGCAAGTGTTTTTACATAGAGAGTGGTAAGAGTCTGGAATGTGCTGCCAGGGGTGGTGGTGGAGGCAGATACGATAGGGGCGTTTAAGAGATTTTTAGATAAGCATATGAATATGCAAGGAATGGACCAAGGGTAGGCAGAAGGGATTAGCTTAATTTGGCATCATGTTCGGCACAACATCATGGCCCATTCCTGTGCTGTACAGTACAATGTTCCACGTTGTGTGTTCTAAGTATGTGCTTCTGACAACATTGGACAGGCAGTGCCTTGTATATTATACTATATAATGTGACTCACAGGTCGCTGTGGTGATATCATAGGATGGCTATATCTTTGGTATCCTGACTTCAGGATTGCTTGAAAAATCTATTAATCACTCCGCTGTTAAGCCAATGGTAGCCCACTGGCTCAAAACTAATGCTTTCGCTTTCATAATGGATGGTTGGGAATTCAGAAGGACAGGAAATAAGGAAAGGAAATCATTTTAAACCCAACTTTCCAAACAGGAAAGAGATGAATCAAATAGATTAGGTTTGGTGCTGCGGCCGGAGGATATATTTCCTTAAGATTAAACATCACTGTCAGGATGATTTTGGTCCAGGTGTTTCCCTGCATGTTAGACCGCATAATAGAGTCATAGAGTCATACAGCATGGAAACAGGCCCTTCGGTCCAACCAGTTCATGCTGACCATAATCCCAAACTAAACTAATCCCACCTGCCTGTTCCTGGCCCATAACCCTCCAAACCTTTCCTATCCATGTACTTATCCAAACGTCTTTTAAACGTTGTAACTATATCCCACACACCATGGCCTCAGGAAGTTCATTCCACACGCGAACTACTCTCCGTGTCAAAAAATTGCCCCCATGTATTTTATTTTAAATCTTTCTCCTCTCACTTTAAAGATATGCCCCATGTTCTTGAACTCCCCTACCATAGGGAAAATACTTTTGTCGTTCACCTTATCCATGCCCCTCATGACTTTATAAACTTCTATAAGGTCACCCCTCAACTTCCTACACTCCAGTGAGAAAAGTCCCAGCCTATCCAGCCTCTCCTTATAAATCAGATCCTCCATCCCCAGCAACATCCTGGTAAATCTCTTCTGAGCCCCATCCAGCTTAATAATACCGTTCCTGTAACAGGTAGACCGGAACTGCACACAATACTGCAGAAGAGGACTCATCAATGTCCTGTACAAGCTCAACATAATGTCGCAAATCCTATATTCAAAGGTCTGAGCACTGAAGACAAGTGTACTAAATGCCTTCTTAACTACCTTGTGATGCAAACTTCAAAGAATTATGTACATGAACAACGGAAACTGTTGTTCTACAACATGATGCAAGGCCCTACTTTTAATTGTATAAGTCTTGCCTTTGTTTCTTTTAACAAAATGCAGTACGTCACATTTATCGAAGTTAAACTCCATCTGCCACTCTTCAGCCCATTGACCCAAGTGATCAAGATCTCTTTGTAATCTTAGATAAACACACAGACTGGGCTCTTATTGAGCCAGATGTCTTAAAGTTTATTAACAGCACTAACTATGCACACGTGATGCGATATCTCAGGTTGATATGTTGTCTTGGTTCTGTGCACTTACATTATATACGTAGATGACTAACTGAACCGAACTGTGAGGAGGATTTTATACATTGGTGATACTGTCTTAGAGATATGGTGCAGGGCTTCCCAAAGGGGGAATCAGGAGCACCAGTGGAATCATGTGCTGAAAGTTTGGGGCCATGAAGCATCAGCTCGTACAGAGAGAGACCCCTACATTCACAGGGCCCTCTTGCCTCACAAAACCCACTGAGGGGCCACCATAACAGTTTTCAGGGAACAGTTGTGGGTTTGACAGCGGCGCAGTGTGTTTCTAAGATCTGTGCAGTCAGACAACTGAAATCCATTTGACGTGTTGAGGGAAAAAGATTAGAAAAACTGTGATCCTTTGACATTGTAAAGGCACCTCTTTGAAGTAGATGTAGATCCTGAGGCAGGTCAAAGCATCAGAAGAAGGGAAAACAGGTCAACATTGGTGAAATAACAAGGTGTAGAGCTGGATGAACACAACAGGCCAAGCAGCATCAGAACATAGAACATAGAACATTACAGCGCAGTACAGGCCCTTTGGCCCTCGATGTTGCGCCGACCTGTGAAACCAATCTGAAGCCCATCTAACCTAAACTATTCCTGAAGAAGGGTCTAGGCCCGAAACGTCAGCCTTCCTGCTCCTCTGATGCTGCTTGGCCTGCTGTGTTCATCCAGCTCTACACCTTGTTATCTCAGATTCTCTAGCATCTGCAGTTCCTGCTATCGCTGCAACATTGGTGAAAGTTCTGTTTTGGAAGTTATGTGAGAAAAACACTCTCAATCAGTGATAGATTGATCTTCTTTGTTTGTAGCGCTTCTGTTTCCAATGCCAAGACACTCAGCAACCTCCAGCAGCCTTTCCCAGGCAGTTGTGAGGGGTCTCATTCCTGACATTGTAACGGAAATAGGGTTTTATTCCTGCTTCCTACTGCCCCTGTTAAACCCCTTTGGGATCTCCCTACTCCGTTGGCTCTCTCCCAGTCAAAATCTTTTAGTGTCCACCAGCAGCTTTCAGCTGAAGCCCAGAACCAGGACTTTCTCTCCCTTTTGAGAGCTGTGGGTGAGCAGGTACAGGCCTTTCTCCACACAGTAGGCAGTCTGCCTAATTTCCAGCACCATCCAGGTGCCTCTTGCCAGGTAAAGGCTACTAGCTTTGGGCCTGTTTTGATTGCAAGACATGAGATTTTCCTATTAAGTCTTGCCTCGTTTCCAGATGGGCGTTCAATTCCAACTTGAGTTAATTCTCCTCTACCCTTAGCATGTTCCCAGTCATTCCTCTGGGTGTGAATTATCCCAGATCTGTACAAACTGTTTTACTGCGTTGCAAATTTGTCCCATTTCTATTCCTGAGCTGAAGTGACAGCGTGCATCTCCTGTCTGCTACAGTCTGCAGTGTTAGCTAGTTTACCTGTAGGATTGAATCAGGTAAGAGGCCCTTTGGCCCATCAAAGCTACCCTAAATGGTAGCACGGTGGCTCAGTGGTTAGCACTGCTGCCTCACAGCGCCGGGAACCCGGGTTCGATTCCACCCTCGGGTGATTGTCTGTGTGGAGTTTGCACATTCTTCTCGTGTCTGCGTGGGTTTCCTCCGGGTGCTCCGGTTTCCTCCCACAGTCCAAAGATATGTAGGTTAGGGTGGATTGGCCATGCTAAACTGCCCATAGTGTCCAGTGATTTGCAGGCTAGGTGGGTTAGCCATGCTAAATTGCCCCACAATGTGCGGGCTAAGTGGATCAGCTGTGGGATATTCAGTGTTTGTGGGATGGGTTTGGGTGGGATGCTCTTTGGAGGGTCAGTGCAGACTCAATGGGCCGAACGGCCTGCTTCCACACTGTAGGGGTTCTATGATCTGACTTTGGTTGAGGGGTAAATGTTGGCCTGGTAAGTGCGGGACAAAACTAGCTGCTGTTGTTCAAAATGGAGCCACTTTCACCTGTGAAGGCAGGCTGTCTAACCCCTTGCATCTCCGACACTGCAGTTCTCCCTCCGTACTGCATAGGGAGTATCAGGATGGGTTGATGTGCTCCAGTATTCAAACCCATGACCACGAGGCAGATACAAATTGGCTCTGCCACTGACACTCTTAATGATGCAGGTTCCTGACTGCTGTATTCTTATTGCTGATGGGAAGACCCAAATCCGTGCTGTTTCCGATGTAAATGGAAACAGAGGATTTATTCACTGACCTTATCGCTGAGTGTGATGTTTAGCTCTCATAGTTTGGACTAGTTGGGTTAATGACTTTATAGTTCTCTTATTGTACAATCGCAAGTATTTGGTCTTTAAATTCCGGCATGGGGGGTATGGATAGTGATAAAACTGGCGGCTTATTTCTGTAAAATGTGCCTCCGAAACGTTTATAATATTGAATTGTATGTGCTGGGCCTAGACCCACTGATAGATAGCTACATCCTCTGCCAAAGTGGGGAGCACTAACACAAAGAATTCTTGTTTGACCTCAGTACACCTGGGACCTAAGTGAGAAGTACTTTTTCCAAGCAGCCGTCGCCTTTTCCATGAGGAAATACTGGGAGGAGTCTAGAAAACAGATCGTCGACTTTGTGTGAGTGAATCCGTTTCTGTGCCTCCCCCCAGGCCCCAGTACTCCGCGCGCTGTTGCTACGGTGGGAAGCAAGCCAGTGGGAACTGGCACCAGGGCTGGGGGAGCAGCCGAAGGGAACCAAACAAGATGGAAGAAAGTGGGAAATAGTTGGGAAACGAGGAGGGGGCGAGGGTATAAGGAAGACGTTGCCCACCTCAGCTTCACTGAGAAGCGACATCACGTCAATGGGGTTAGATTGGTCGGCTGTTGTGACTAGTATGGGCAGGATGGGCTGAATAGCCTCCTCCTGTGCTGTAAACTCTGAGACTCCGTGACTATAATGATTATGAACCAGCTGTGTGCGACCCCCCTTTCATGCCTGTCTGTTGATGGGAGTGGGACGGGGGGAGAGAAGCAGAAACCTTTTTTTTCTCTGTCTGCAGAACTCTTTCTCCAAAGTCAGGGTTATCAAACATTTGTAAGGCTGAGAACATTGACTCTTAGCTCCACGTGATCACAGCAAGACAGACCTGAGGTCACAGTCAGATTGGCCATGATTTTATCAAATGGGGAGAGCAAGCTTCGGGGCCGAATGGCCTTCTCTTGCACCCACACCATGGCTACTGTGCCTACAAGGGAAGCTGTGGCCTCTGATGCCCTGTTCCTCCAGTTTGGGAGGTTGGCATAGCAAGGGGAGCAGTTGAGGCTCAGTCCCAATCAGGAGGTTGATCAGGAGAGGTTGCTGAGTTCCCAACCATCCCCAGAGCAAGCTGACGGCTCCATTCACATTGGTCTCCATGCTTTCTGGGAAATGTAGCTCTGAGCTATTGGTTGACAGGCTCAATGGGCACGCCACGATTTCGCCATGTACTTCCCCATCCGCTTTCCTATCTACTAGTGACCTCAGCGGCAACTCCTGAACCCTCTGCCCCGCTCCCACTGCCAAACCAGTTCCCTGTGCCAACTCTGACACACTGGCACTCAGCCTACCGCCCCAGTTTCCCTGAGCTGGTCTGCCATCTGGAGTAAATATGGTGCCAAGTTCTGCTGGACAAAGTCAGAACTCACACGACACCAGGTTAGAAGTCCAACAGGTTTATATGAAATCAAAAGTTTTCGGAGCGCTGCTCCTTCATCAGGTGGAGTCCACCCCAACCCAACACCGGCATCTCCACATCGCAGGTTCTGCTGTTTAACAGGACACTGGGGAGCTTTGTCTTCAGGAGGTTCAGTTTCTCACAGAGTCAGAGAGATGTACAGCACAAATAGGCCCTTCGGCCCAACTTGTCCATGCTGACCGGATGTCCTAAATTAATCTGGTCCCATTTACCAGCATTTGGCCCATATGGTTCTAAATCCTTCCTATTCATATACCCACCCAGATGCCTTTTAAATGCTGTAATTGTACCAGCCTCCACCACTTCCTCTGGTAGCTCATTCCATACACACACCACCCACTGCATGAAAAAGTTGCCCCTCAGATCCCTTTTAAATCTTTCCCCTCTCACCTTAAACCTATACCCTCTCATTTTGGACTCCCCTACCCTGGGGAAAGGACTCTAGCTATTCACCCTATCTATACCCCTCATGATTTTATAAACCTCTATAAGGTCACCCCTCAGCTTCCAATACTACTGGGAAAATAATCCCAGTCTATTCAGCCTCTCCTTATAGCTCAAACCTTCCAAACCCAGCAACATCCTTGTAAATCTTTTCTGAACCCTTTCAAGTTTCACAATATCCTTCCTACAGCAGGGAGACCAGAATTGAATGCAGGATTCCAAAAGTGGTGTAACCGATGTTCTGTATAGCCTCAACATGACCTCCCAACTCCTGTACTCAATACACTGACCAATAAAGGCAAACATACCAAACACCTTCTTCACTATCCCATCTACTTCATAGAATCCCTACTGTGTGGAAACAGGCCCTTCGGCCCAACGAATCCACACCGACTCTCAGAGCACCCACCCAAACCTATCCCCCTATAACCCACCTAATCTACACATCCCTGAACACGACGGGCAATTTAGCATGGCCAATCCACCGAGCCTGCACATCTTTGGACTGTGGGAGGAAACCGGAGCACCCAGAGGAAACCCCCACAGGCACCAAGGTTTGGAATTGGACCCAGGTCCCTGGCGCAGTGAGGCAGCAGTGCTAACCAATGTGCCACCGTGCTGCTCTTCAAGATATTTGCAACTCCACGCTCAAGGAATTACGAACCTGCACTCCAAGGTCACTTTGTTGGGCAACATTTTCCAAGGAGGGAACGAGGGCTTTCAGATCTTCAGGGATGGGGGCCCTGATTTAACGTCACATCCAACAGCACAGGTCGGACCTATTTTGTGCTCAGGTCCCTCAAATGTACCACGAACTTACCTAGAAATGAGAGTGCCCTCCTTTGAGCTGCACAATGTGGTAGATGGACCCATTCAAATCGAGTAGCGTTCAGTGATATCACAGAATATTGAATATTCCAACAAACAATTCCTTGCTGATAATCATATTTACACCAGCCCATGTAATAATGGCACAGCGTTTGTTATGGGTAAAGCACCAAAATTTGTGCAAACCTGCCAAGGCCGAAACGCCTTTGTAATAATAATTATTACTGTCTTCCACACAGGACGGAGAATGTTTATATATTCAATGAAACAGAAAGGATCTCTTTTTATTTCATTGTTGTCAAGCCAAAGAACCACACTGGAATTGTTCCAAAGGCAGAGGTGACACAAGCTATCAGGTATCACCTAAAACTCTTTGACATTGAAGTAGCCAGCAGTGTAAGGTTTACTTGGTTTACAGTTTGGATATTGTTGAAAACAAATTTCATGGAAGTTTTTCATCTTGCACTCATTCAGACAATTCACAAGAGTACCAATAAAGGGGAAAACCAACTTTCATGACCAAATTTATGCAACTGCAGTCATCAATTGGCAATTGGACTCTGACTGGTCAAGATACCATCATGGAGAATACACCAGATGGCTGATGACTGACATTTAACTTCCAAGCTTTATTTAATTGTAAATGACTTGGATGAAAACGTAGATGGGCACGTTAGTAAGTTTGCAGATGATACAAAGATCTGTGGAGTTGTAGAAGGTTGTCGAAGGATACAGCGGGATAGAGATCAGTTGCAGATATGGGTGGAGAAATGGAAGATGGAGTTTAATCTGGGTGAGAGTGAGGTGCTGTACTTTAATACAGTTAATGGCAAGATTCTGAACAGCATTGATGTACAGAGGGATCTTGGGCTTCAAGCCCATAGTTCCCTGAAAGTGGCCATGCAAGTAGAAAGGGTGGTAAAGAAGGCATATGGTATGCTTGCCTTTATTGGTCAGGGAATTGAGTACAAGAGTCAGGATGTCATATTGCAGCTTTATAAGACTTTGGTTATGCATAGTGCATTGCATTCAATTCTGGTCGCCACATTACAGGAAGGATGTAGGGGCTTTGGAGACGGTGCAGAAGAGGTTACCAGGATGCTGCCTGGATTAGAGAGTATGAGCTGTAAGGAGAGGCTAGAAAAACTCAGGCTGTTTTCTCTGGAGTGACAGAGGCTGACTGGAGACTTGATAGAAGTCTGTAAAATTATGTGATGCAAAGATAGGGTTGACGGTCAGAATCTTATCCCTGGAGTTGAAATGCCTGATACTAGGGGGCTTGCATTTAAGGTGAGATGGGGAAAGTTCAAAAGAGATGTGAAGGGCAAGTCTTTTTACAAAGAGAGTGGTAGGAGTGTGGAATGTGCTGCCAGGGGGTGGTGGTGGAAGTAGATACAATAGGGGCGTTTTAAGGGGCTTTAAGATAAGCACATCAATATGCAGGAAATGGAGGGATATGGACCAAGGACAGGCAGAAGGGATTAGCTTAATTTGGTGTCATGTTTGGCACAACATTGTGGGCCTAAGGGTCTATTCCTGTGCTGTACAGTTCAATGTTCTGTTAAAACACAGGCTCCTGTTTCCTTGTTGACAGAAGGGATATGTATACAAATTACTCCTGTTGTAACAACACGAAACAAGTGACAGCCATTCTCTGGTTCCTGTCTGAGGGTAATATCTGAGTCCACTGATCTGATTTAAATTGAGATAAAACATTGGAGTTAATTGTCACTCATCATCTAACTGGTGCATTCTCCATGGCAACATCTCTACCAATCAGAGGCTACTTGCCAACCAATCAACACTGTCTACTCACATAGTAAAAAAAACAATGTTTTACATCAGCGTGCTTGCAATTGTCCTGATAATCCTTGGGAGGTGCTGGTGAGTTACTATCTGAACCCCTGCAGTCCTTGGAGTGTCACCTGCAATACCCTTAAGGGGTCATCTAGGATTTTGACCAGTGACAGTGAAGGAATGGAGATGTATTCCCAAGTCAGAATGGTGAGTGGCTTAGAAGAGAGCTTTCAGGTGGTGGTGTTTTCAGTGGAAGTGGTCATGGGTTTGGAAGGTGCTGTATGAGGATCTTTGGTGCGTTTCTGCAGTGCATCTTGTAGATAGTACACGCTGCTGCTACTGAGCGTCGGTGGTGGAGGGAGTGGATGCTTGTGGATGTGGTGCCAATCAAGCGGCTGCTTTATCCTGGATGGTGTCAAGCTTCTCAATTGTTGTTGGAGCTGGCCCATCCAGGCAAGTGGGGAGTATTCCATCACACTCCTGACTTGTGCCTTGTAGATGATGGACAGGCTTTGGGGAGTCAGGAGGGGAGTTACTCGCTACAGTATTCCTAGCTTCTGGCCTGCTCTTGTAGCCACTGTGTTTGTGTGCTGAATCTAGTTGAATTTCTGATCAACGGTAACCCCCCACAATATTGATAGTGGGAGATTCAGTGATGGCAACACCATTGACATCAAGAGGGGGTGGTTAAATTGTCTCTTATTGGAGATGTGGAACCTTAGTAAAAGGAAACAAATTTAAAATGAAAATCAAACAGGTCTGAGTTTAATAATCAAACTTTAAGCTAGATGTTAATAATGTACAAACGTTCAAAATGTTCATTTCAACTTCTCATGTCATTTCAAATCAACAGCTCTAGATTAGAAAGTTGAGATAGTGTTAAGACAGTGGCTGGAGGATATACACATTGTTAAAGTAATTCTGTCGCTCCTCAGAGATATTGTCAATTTAATGAGCTAGATTCTTTTTATTTAAGGACCTGTGTGTTATCGCATATCCTGAATAATAAATCATCATAAGGACTAATTTCGAACACACTGTTTGAGAGTCACTAACACCAGTGGCATCAAATGTTGCTCACTCCACAGAAAGAACAGAGAGCGGTTTAACAGCGCATTTCTGTTGAATGACGAGACACTGGAGTTTGTCGGTATTGCGCCAACTCTGGCACCAAGAAGTGAACCTCCCGTGACAGTCTGGCTGATTGTGTTTGGGATTGTCATCGGTCTGGTTTGCATTGGATTAACGATCCTGATCATCAGTGGCATTCGGGCAAGAAAACAGTAAGTGCAGAAACGATGTGTGCTGGTTAGAATGGGTTCGGTGATTGGTGAGGGGTTTGGAAACCTGGGGACAGCTCAGGGGAATCAGTGGGGATTAAGAGGATTAGTGGTCAAAATGGGCAACAGTGGACTTTTTGAGGATTAGTAGGGACCATGGGAATCAGTGGGGGCTATGGGAATCAGTGGGAGCTATGGGAATCAGTGGGGGCCATGGGAATCAGTGGGGGCTATGGGAATCAGTGGGGGCTGTGGGAATCAGTTGGGGCTATGGGAATCAGTTGGGACTATGGGGATCAACGGGGACTACGGGGATCAATGTGAATTATGGGGACTGGTGAGGATTATGGAGATCAGTGAGGATTATGGAGATCTGTAAGAATGGTCGGGATTAATGAGTTTTTTTGAGATCACTGGGAACTCTGAGGATTAATGTGAATTATGGTGATTAGTGAGATTATGGGGATTAGTTGGGGTCAAGGAGATCACTGGGATCTCTGGAGATGAATGGAGACTCTGGGGTCAGTTGAACCAATAAGGATAAAATTGAGTTTGAAAGTATGTGCTCTGTGTCAATTCACAGCGACCCATTCTCCCATCTCGATTCACCAGGGAATCAATTTCCCAATAATTTCAGGCAGTAGCATTGTTATCATACACAGTCAGGTCAAACATATTCAAGAGACAACACATGCTGATTAGTGAACCTGTTGTGAAGATCCAACCCTGAGCAAAATATTGTTAAATGTCGCATAGGATCTGGAATTACTGACCATTGATGACATGTTGATGTGAACTTGTGGCCATGGGTGTGTCAGTGTTTACTGTGCAATAGTTGTGCATTCTGAAATAAAATGCAATCTCATTGTTTATTTCGCAACAGCAAAAAAGCACAAGACACCGAGAATAATGAGCTTCAAAATACCAAAGATTTACCGGCAGCGTCTTCTGAGGAGATTGTGTTCGAAAAGGGGATTAAGAACCCAGCTTTCACCACAGACACATTGAGTACGGAGATGTAAACTCAGCCAATCCCACACATTTTTTGAATGTACTTGGACTAACTTTGGAACTTATGGAATTGTGTGCTGAAGCATTCGGTGAAGTTCAATTAATGCAGTTGATATCTGGCAACAGAATTAGCTCAAATTTTTACAAAGTTTTGACTGTTTAACCTGGATTTACTCAAGCGCAATTTACCTACACCTCAGATCCCCGATAAAGAGGACTGTCCCTTCACGAAGCTGATGATCAGGACCCTCAGATATCAAGAGACAAACAATCTCATAGTACAGTATTCAGCAACAGTGTAGACTTCCCAAAATATCATCACAACGAGCACTTTGTCATTTTCAGCAGTGATAGAACAGAATATGTAGCTGATTCCATGACCAGTCCTGTTTATTATTTGACTGGAGTTGAGGAGATGTCTGGCCTGGTTTTATGCAGTAAGGATTGGTGAAGGAGCATGAGTTCAAGATCCCTAAAATGTTCAATGCTGTGTCTGAATCTTCCCCACACCGTCAAATACACTGGACACCTTGGAGTCTTGTTTTCAAATAGTACAGACTCCCTTCATTGTAGCCTAAATCTGCTGTAATGGTTCTGGACAAATAAAGATATAAAGGCATCCCAGTCTTTTGTTGGCCTGTATTAATCTTTTCTTGACTCTGTGCATATATAGACACAGACTGTACATCTATGCTTGCTCCAGTCGGTACATTTCCTGAATCACAATGTGTAACATCCTTTTTCTAGTTGGAAAACCACAAAAATCTCAAGGCAGGGATGCAACCTTCCACTAAGAGGAAGCAGGATATCTTGGTAAAGATGGACATCCGTGAGACGAGAAAACAACTCAATAACAATGCTTCTTCGAACAGTGGAGATTGAGAGGGGACATGATTGAGGTGTATAAAATTATGAGGAACAATGACAGGGTGGACAGGAAGAAACTTTTCCCCTTGATGGAGGGGTTAATGACTAGGGGCAGTTAAGGGGCAGGAGGTTTAGAGGAGATGTCCTAGTTAGCCTTGTTCCTGGGAATTAAAGAGAATGAAAAGAGGTCACACCAAATAGGACAAATCTCTGGAAGAGGGAGGACGAAGAGGGCGATATATGCTGTCAATAGGAGGACACCCACAGAAGAACAAAGGAACTCCTGAACCTCAAAAGAGGAGGAGGCCATTCATCCTCTAAGACCTATTACAACATTCAACGAGATTGCAACTAATCTCTCATATAACTCCACTTACCTGCCCTTCCCATTTCTCCTAACTCCCAACCAAAATCTGGGGACAGCACGTTTAAAATAAGCAACTGATCCATTGTTGTTTGTGGAAGTGCATTTTAAATTTCAACCATGCTTTACACGTGAAAATACCTCCTAATATTACCCCCGAAAATTCTGGCTCTCCAGAAGAAAAACAGGGCAGATAGACAGAACCTATCAGTTTCCCCTTAATATCTTGTAAACTTTGATCAAATCACTTGCAACTTTTTTTTAAATTCCAGGGAATACAATCCTAATTTGTGTCATCTCTCCACTGTTCTTAACCCTTAAGAGTTCAGGCACTACCTTGGTAAATCAACACTTGGCTCCATTGAAAGTAAATGTTCTTTGTGAGATGGGGAGCCTGAAACATATCACAACTCCCCAGGGATTGTCTGACGCAGGGATTTCTATGTCTGAAGGAAGCCGTTCCCTATAATCTGCTCCTCTACATTAAATAGACAGTAAACCTTTACATTATTGCGTGAACTTGTTCTGTGAATGATCTATGCTGCTCTGTTGGCCTAAGCCCGTAGGGGGGAATAGACAGACTCACACTTTCATTGACACCATAAAAGTTTGACTCAGGTCAGTGTAGACAGGCCCCTATCCTTTTCTCCACCTTCAAACCTGCTGGGCAAGGGAACTGACCACAGTCTTACCCATTGGCTTAATCCATCAATAAACTCTTTGCCATTTCACACTTCCATTGACGCTTCTTACTACGGTGCACATCTGTATGTCATCAGCAAATTTAGATGAGTGATCATTGAGTATTTGTAAACAGTTGAGTTTCCTGAGGGAGACTGTAAGGTACATCCTCTAATGTGTGTTCCTCCTCCTTATTGTGTGAGTCAAGTTGATCAGTCCATTTCCCAAGCATATTAATGAGGTGCCTTGAGTTCTTCAGCTTCAAATTTAATCAAACATTTCTTAAGGGCTACATTATCAAATGCCTTCTGGAAGTGCATGTCAACAACACCCACAGATATCCCCAGGCCAACTCTTCAAAAGATTCCACCAGATGCACCAAGCCTGACCTCCCTGTCACATATCTTCGTTCTCTCATCAGCTGAAAGGTTTTGGACTGTTATTCCTCTGGGCCTTGCCAGAAACTCCAGCATTTTTGGGGAGTGGTTGGCCTTGTGCCTTGAGTGGAGTGTGAGTGTGTGTCTGTGAGGCTTTGTGTGCGCGTGTGTGTGTGTTTATGTATGAATGTGAGTGTGTGAGTGTTTGAGTGTGAGTGTGTGTGTGTGTTTATGTATGAATGTGAGTGTGAGAGTGTGTGTGTGTGTGTCTGTGTGTGAATCTGTGTGTGTGATTGTGTGTGAATCTGTGTGTGTGATTGTGTGTGTAACTGTGTGAGTGAGTGTGTGTGTGTGTGAGAGTGTGTGAATGAGTGGGT